CTCTTGTGTTGCTGAGGGAGTTCCAGTAAAACAAAACCTGCAGAGTGAGTGTGTGTGTGTGTGTGTGTGTGTGTGTGTGTGTGTGTGTGTGTGTGTGTGTGTGTGTGTAATAACATAGTTAACAGACCAGGTATTCCAAGAATACCATTTTTAGGAACATCCATATTTTTTAAAGTACTTTAAAGTGATCATTGGCAATTTTGTGCCTCAGGTTTTTGAAGCTGCCAGATTTGAATTTGATGACAAAAATGTGGTGTGGGAAAAATGTCTAAAAATGTCCAGGACTCAGGTCTCTAAGCTGACAAAAGCCACTGCTATGGCCCCACGCTGTTTTCAGAGTGACTAACCCAGGTTGGGGTCTCAGATTTCTAACTACTAAGCCACACCCCTCTCCCAGAGCCGGGGGGAGAATCCAGGATTTCTGGGCACCAATACACTGCTGCTGACAAGTGAATACTATGGTACCCAACTGAGAAAACATTGCTCACGTCCTTCTCCGGTGGCTGCTTGAGGAGGGGCTAGTAATTGTTCCTGGAGCTCAGAGAACAAGCTGGGGATCTGAGGGATTGAAACCCTGCTGCTGATCTATGTGGGGGCTGAGTGTCTTTTCCTTCTGGGCTTGTACAGCACGTAGCATGATGGGGCCTGGTCCAGGACTGGGGTCATAGGTGCTACCACGCTCTGGTTTCATGTGATTAACGCAGTGAAAAGACCCCTTGAAAACAGGTTTTGTGCTTCACAACTCTGTCGCTGGGGCAATTATGATGTGAATCCCTGACACACACACATCAGGTGTTTGTCACACGCTTTGCCTGTGGAACCTTTCCCCTCCGGTCTGGGTGTGTGGTCGGTCTCCCATGCCCTGCCCCACAGGCAGATGCTCAGCCTGGGAGTCTGGCACAAGCTGTAAAGACTCGTGTGTTTAGCCCTGGATTCATTGGTCTCGTCCCCAACGTTGGCCACCCTGGCAGCCAGACCACGGGCAGGTGTTATAATAATAATATAAGGATATATCCTATCTCCTAGAACTGGAAGGTCATTGAGTGCAGCCCCCTACCATCACTAGGAGGACCCAGTACTGATTTTGACCCAGATCCCTAAGTGGCCTCCTCAAGGATTGAACTCACAACCCTGGGTTTAGCAGGCCAATGCTCAAACCACTGAGCTATCCCTCCCTGGTTCCTTGTCAGCCTCCTCTAAGGGGGTGAGGTTTGGTTCACATGGGAGGGCAGGGGGAGAGCCCGAGCAAATCAGCTGGGGCGGCGCAGGCCCAGCTGCTCCTGGCCACAGCCAATTTCCCTGAGCGCTTTGGGAGGTGAGTGAAGATTGTGCAATACGTGCCCTGAACTCCCCCACTAACACAGCCCCTGAGCAGTGACCCCTCTGCTTGTATCTCGGTTACAGCACCCCATCCAGGGCTGGCTTTAGGCACTGCGGTGCCCGATTCGAAAGAGCTGCCGCCGAAGACAGCGGCGGGACTTCGGCGGCAGCTCAATTGGCTGCCGGTGCCTTCGGCGGCATGTCGGCGGAGGGTCCTTAGGGACGTTGCGGGGCCCTCTTAGGGGCGCGGGGCCCGATTTGGGGGAATCGGGTGAATTGCCCTAAAGCCGGCCCTGACCCTGTCCCACAGCCACACACTGCATGCACTGGCATCATCCTCATGTCTGGACCCAGTAGAGGTCACTGCTGGTTCTGCCTTCCCTGCAGGTTCGATGGACCTGGGGACGGATTGTTCTTGGGTGTCCGTCAGTGAAGGCCATGAAAGGCCAGTTATGGGCAGCATTGTGGGCAATGGGAAGGTGGGAGACATACAAGTATTTTCCTGTCACTTCCTAATTGTGAGATTGAATTATCCTTGTAATTTTCCAGTAAATAGAATTTGTTCTGATTGCTACAATCCCTTCCCTGCGCATTGCCCAGATTTTAAAGCTTTATCGGGTTTCTCTTGTGTTTGATTCGAGCCACCTTCACGGAACAGAAACCTGTTTCTTCTCTGAATTGTCTTATGAAGCTCGGGCTTTAGCGACAGGCACCTGACCCTAGCCGTGGCCTTTGTCACACACCTGTCCATGTCAGCGGATCCCTGCCTGGTTAACAAGCCAGTAAAACTGGCTCAAGGAGAGAAGCTGGTGAAACGAACAGGCATGTACGACTCACCAAGCCAGGCCAGGCCCATGTTTCTATCAAACCGGCTCTCCTGCCCCCTCTTCCCCACCCCCAGCACAGCACCTCAGAGTCTCCAGCCACTGACTGGAGCCTCATCCCATCAGTCCGCGGAGCTGCTGGTCCCCGCAGAGTGATGGGGCACCTACACGTCCCACTGCAGGTGGACATGTGCCCAGTGTTAGAGCAAGAGCGCTTTGCCCAGCAGTTCTCGTGGTGCGGCGCGTGCCAGCCAATCTCATGGACCCGCCCAGGTGGATGTTTGCCCAGTGCTGGAGTGCTTTGCCTAGCAGTTCTCGTGGGGCAGCGCGTATGGCCTCCATATTGCCTCCATGTCATCATGCTCCCAGCAGAGGGTGTACAGGGCAGATCTGCCCCGATCCCCTCTCAGCCCCTTCCCACGGAGGGTTGGGTCTCCCCGCTGACAGTGCAGGGGCTGGCAGGAAATATGCGAACTAGGGTCTGTTCCTTGTGCTCGTCACATGTCTTCCTCCACTTCACCAGCAGATGGCAGCAGATGGCCAGGTTCAGCCACAGTGAGCTGGGTGTTTGGCAAAGGCTGGCCTGTGTCGCTCCCAGGGGGGTGACTCTGCCAGCGGGCTGGGCTCAGGGGGAGCCCCAGGCAAAAAGTGGGGGCCCAGGCCTGGCCCGATGAAGGGGGCACTGCCAGGGAGACTGGGAGGCCTTGCGCGCCCTGAAAATAGGGTGACCAGGTGTCCATTTGTTTTACCAGAACACCGGCTCGAAAAGGGATCCTGCCAGTTCCGGTCAGCACTGCTGACCGGGCCATTGACTGTCGGGTTGGCGGTGCTGCACATCGGGGCTACCAGGCTCCCTGCTAGCCTCCGTGCCAAGCAGCTGCCCTGTCCACCCTCTTCCTTCTACGTGTAGGGGCAGCCAGGGGGCTCAACACACTGCCCCCGCCCCAAGCACTGGCCCCACTGCTCCCATTGGCCGGGAACGTTGGCCAATGGGGGTGGCGGGGGTGGCACCTGCCGACGGTGCAGCGCGCAGCATGGGGACATGCCGCTGCTTCCAGGAGCTGCTTGAAGTGAGCGCCAGCTGGAGCCTGTGCACCCCTGAGCCCCTCCCAGGCCCCAACCCCCTGCTCCAGCCCTGATTCCCCTCCTGGCGGGTTGGGGTCCCCCACCCTCCAAACCCCTCAGTGCAGCCCAGAGCCCCCTCCTTCACCCCAAACCTCTTGTCCCTAGCCCCACCCCAGAGCCTGCACCCCCAGCTGGAGCTCTCCCATCCCCCGGCATCCCAATTCCCTGCCCCAGCCCAGAGCCCCCTCCTTCCCTCTGAACCCCTCATCCTTACCCCCACCCCAGAGCCTGCATCCCGAGCCGGAGCTCTCACCCCCCCACACACCCCAGCCCCCTGAGCCACCCTGGTGAAAATGAGTGAGTGAGGGTGGGGAAAGCGAGTGACAGAGGGAGCGGGGTATGGAGAGAGTGGGGGTGGTACGTAGTCTTGTAGGAGTGGCAGGTGGGGCAGAGGGCGGGGCAAGGGTGTTCGGTTTTGTGCACATAGAAAATTGGCAACCCTACCTGGAAAGCCGAGATGCACAGACAGAGACGAGGGCACCAGACGCACAGACAGACACGGGGCCCCAGGATGCTTTGACACTTTATTGGTGTTAATCATACGGTGGGGGGCACAGAACGCGAGAAAAAATATCCCACCACCACCGCCAACCCTGCATACCCCCATCAGTGCCCCCCGCTCCATCATCCCCCCAACCCACCGATGGCGTTTCCTACCCCACCACCACCCCAGCCCTCTGATGGTGCCCCCTGCCCCGCCACCTCCCCAACCCTCCGACGGCACCCCCAGCCCCGTTCCCCCCCCCAATGGTGCCCCCTGCTTGCCCCTGCATCCTCTGCTCTCCCCTGTGTCCCCTGATTTCCCTCCTGCCCCACAGCTCACATCCTCACCAGGCAGCGATTGGTGTTGGGGTCGTTCCCTCTGCAGTCCTGGCAGGCGTTGTTGTCACAGGGCAGCAGGGGCATGTCGTGCAGCAGCAGGGCCAGCTCTAGGTTTTTTGCCAACCCAAGCAAAAAACTTTTTGGCTGCCCCCCACCGCAGCCCTGGCCTCCCCCACCACATCCCCCTACTACCTCAGCCCTGGGCTCTCCCCCCTCACACCCGCACCCCCTGCCGCCCCAGTTCTGGGCCCCCTCCACCCACACCACCCTGCTGCCCCAGCCCTGGGCTCTCCCCCCTCAACTGCATCCTCCTGCTGCCCCAGCCCTGGGTCACTGGTAACTTGCTCCCAGGGCGGGTCATTCAGCGGGAATTTTGGATGCACACAGAACACAGACAGATTGGTTCCCATATGGTTACAGAACTGCAGTAAAGTGGAACAATTTTCAGCTTGTGTGATTGGAGGATATCTGGATGCATATTATAAGACTGTCCTACATAAATGAGGAAACCTTGAGGTGCCTTTATTATTCTTCTCTTCCACTCTTTGTTTCTATGGGGAATTTGTCAATGCAATATCACTGTCTTCCTTTTAAACAAATAAAACTTAAAAAAAAAAAAATGGCTGTTGAAAATAGCAATTCCAGACCTAATAACCACTGGGAAGCATTTCTTGCTCAATTTTATCCTACTTTTTCTACAGCAAGTTACAGTGGATCAGTATATTTGATTTGGGAGAAATGAAGTAACAGCTCCCCAAATTGAGCTTGAGCACTCCTGAATGTTGAGGGTGTTCAAATCTGGAAGGCAGGTGCTAGATTCCCTTTCTGAATATTAGCTAAATCTGGAAAGGAAAAGTCAACTTCTGCTTCCATGGCTCAGAAGTGGAAATCCTCCTACGGGCCTGGTACTGTATCTAAAGCTGCCCAGGTCCTCTAGCAGAGCCTCCCCTCCCTTACTTTTCATTTTAAATTCTAGTGGGATCCACGTACCTCCCTTGCTAGGCTTCAGATAGAGAGGGGGCACTGTCCATTTAGTCCACCCAATTCTTTCTTTGTGGGCTGCAAGGTGAAGTCACACCAGTATCCCTAAGTCAGTCTGGGGAAGTCTTCTGAAGGGGATAGCTGGGCCAAAGCCTTCTACTCCTTGGGCATATTTGTTCCCCATTGCATTCCAAGGGCCTTATTTTTTAATATTTGAATACTGTCTTTTGTACTATAAGATGTCATCGCAGCATGTGTGCTTTCTCATTCCCGCCCCGTATGTACGTGTGTGTGTGTGCTTTCGGGGCACGAGTGTGTGGCATTGTGAGAGCACCATTGTGTCACTGGGCCAACCAGAGTGGATTTTTGCACACGAAGGAGCAGTGGATATCCTCACGAGTGGCAAGAGGGAGGGGGACCGATCGATCGTTCAATCAAATGCTCCCAGGAGGGAATTAACTGGCGTATCGGAAAAGTTTGGCCAGCGGATTTGGAGCTGGATCGTTTCCTTGCAGGGAACGGAAGCTGCTTCCCTGGCCGAGCCGAACGGCCTCTGTGCCGCGCAGGGGAAGGGTGTAAGAGGCGAAGCCTGCCAGCACTCACCTGTCACGCTGCAGTACCTCCACCTGCCGTCCGTGTCGTAGCTCATGGTGGTCACGCACCAGCGCGGCCTGCACCTGGGATGGGACCAGAAGGCACAGGGGGGAGAGACTGAGAAGAGAAAAGGGGAGAGATCAAAAGGGACAAATCACAACCACAAGCAAAATAAATTGGCCCCACGCCATTGGAGTCAATGGACCAGATCCCCAAGTGGGTGTAAATTGGCCTGTCTCCATTTGAATTAAAAGGCCGGATTCTGAGCCGCTATAAATCGGCACAGATCCCCTGAAGCCGGCGGAGCGATGCTGTGGTGGAAAAAGTCACCCACGCATTGATTTTAGTTCACAGACTCAAGCCTGAGGCCAGTTTATTGCAATACATACCAACGCGTTGGGGTAGCAGTCCGAAAACTACCACACCTAGCACAGCACGCAGGCTGCCTTTATTCCGTCAAACCGCAAGCATAGTACAAATAATACGTCATTTATGCGAAAATAAGAGTAGGGGTCTGTCCCTTTTTCCCGGTAGCGCCGTCATTATTTACGAGAATTGGGTGCCTATTGGGTGGGGGGTGGGTTCTTGGTGGTTTCTGACATGGTTGGTACTTGGCACCAGTTGGGGTGTTGTTCTCGTCAGGGTACATATTGTTTTTTCCGGGGTCATAGGAGTTTATTACGGGACGCCCACAGATGATATATGATTAGATAGCTGGAACTATAGGAGAAGCTGACCTTTACTAGAAGCAATTTCTTCATATAGGCGGTTATTATGTTTTATAAACAAGTGGTTATCGTGTTCTTACAGACAAGCCGTTATCATGTATTTCATAAACAAGCAGTTATTCTGTTGCTAAGGCCTATTGCATTGCTTCCTTCCCCTCCCTCCTCTGGTCAAAGCCCATGACCGTATTTGGCAGGGAATTGCACAGCTTAGCTTTGTTCAGGCCCTGGCTGTTTTATGTAAAGGCCGTCTGTATAGTCAGCTTCTGTCAGAGGGTCTGAATTTGGGCCTTCGGTGTTACTTTGGCTGTCATAAAGAAGGCCACCTAGTTCTTTTTCCCCACAATTTCCCTCCTCTGATGCCATGTAGGCATCATTATTATAATTTGCTAAAGAGGCCATAGTGCAGTATTTAGGCTTAGTTTCTTGTAAAAGGAGATCAGTGGACACAAGACTGGCAGTACCGGAGGGGTGGACACTAAGGTGACTAATTTCTGGGTCTGTAGGAAAGTATAGTGTTGTGTTGGGGGTATCGATGGGAAAAAGAAGGGCTGGGGGTGGTGATTGAACCTGTAGCTGGGGTAAACGACACACCCTGCACATGTAACAAAGGGAGATAATTAATAAACAGCCAGCGATTGCGATCATTATACCAGCTAGTATTTTTAAGACTGAGGAAGTGAAGCGGCTGGGCATGGCTTGGGTGATTTCTTTAGAGGCAAAACACAACACGTTGTGGGAAGAGCATAGGGTACCCACCCGGTAGGCAGTTTGAAATGCTTTGGCCTCCCCGTTGTATTCAACCTCTATTAGATGTATTTGGTTTTGGAGGTGAGATATGCTGGAGAGGATGGAAATCAGAAAGGTCAAATTTAAGAAGCAGTTCAGGATGAGGAAAGTCCAATCGAAAGTAAGAGGGACGGCTGGGTGGAGGGTTAGATAGATTTGGGGATTTGCAGGCCATGTGATAAAGTGGCTACCCTGGGTAGTGGTTAAGTTAAGATGAAAGGGAAGAGGAGTGTGGCGATTCGATGGCAGGGCGCAACCATCCTTTTCGCTAAATAGGAGTTCTCCTCCTGGGGCTTTACCTACTGCTTCTCCCTCCCAACAAACTGTATCAAAGATGTTCAGTAATTCCCCAGGGTGTAACTTGTGGAGACAAAACAACTGTGGGAGTTCCAAGGGCCACAAGGACCACAAGGTTCCGATTCCCACCCAGACGTGTTGAGCAGCGAAATCATGGGGAGTGGTGATAAAACGGCTAGGTTCATGGGGTGGCTTGACTTCCCATACCTGCCGGCTGATAACCCAGTCCCATAGACAGCCCTCCCAGGGTCCCGGCAAAAGTAAGTGCACTGGGGCCCATGTGCCATTGACAGGCCCTGAGGCCTGGAAAGAGCATTTTGAGGAGTCGCAGGCCCACCCTGACAATGCCCACGTATGCCTCCATTTCCACAGCTTGGGTGGCACTCCTGCAGTAGTGTTAAGGGCTTTGGGCCATCGCTGACTGAGGACATCGCTCCGCATTTCTGCTAAGAGACCATTAAAGAAATCCTGCATCTGGCTACAAGCTGAATCCCATCCAGTGTCTTTTCCTATTAAAACGAGGGTGTTTATTAATTTTGTTAAGAGGGTTTGGGTTGTGGCTCCCAGTCCTGACAGGGCATGGAGGGTTTCTATATTTGAGTGGGTGCTGGTTAACCCTGCCTCAGTAAGGAGGCCTGATGCCCTTTCCAAATTTCCCAGGCGTTGTTCATGGTCTTGGGCCTTGTCTATTGTCCAGATAGCGGCTACCCCAGTTAGACCATGCAAGGCCCCTTCCAGCAAGCCTCTTTTCCTCCGAAAATTCTCCCACTGCATAAGCTGGGCTAACCGAATGGCCGCTCCTTGGGTGCAATTGGGGTATAGGGTAGTTATTTGGAAAGCGGAAATGGGAAATGAGAAAGTGGTGGTCCCTATAGTAGCATTTAGCACAATCCACCGATGGAAATGATTATCCTGTCGGTAGGGTGCGCTATACCACATTTGTTGTTCTGAGACTTGAATCTCTCTGAGGCCACGGCCAGATAGATTTGTATGGGAATTGGAGAAGATATGAGGGGGAGCAACTGGGGAGTGGGGATTGTAACGATGGGCTATGAGGCAGTCATGTAGAGTAGGGGTCCCTCTCCTGCAAGTGAAGGTAAACTTAGGGTGACAACTGGAATAAGTGGTAGGAATACCAAAAAGTAGGTAACTGATTACAAAGCATTGCATGGAAGTTCCTTCATTACAAGACAGTTTGCAGGTGCCAGCTGTTGCTAATATGTCAATTCCTGTACGGGAGTTTTCCCTTAGAGCCTCAAGGTTGGTGTCGGTAAGGGAAAAGGGGAAGGATTCCTTAGTGACGGTTTTGTTTTTACGCCACTTGATAGTGTGGCCATACAGGTGGCCGTTAGGTTCTGTTGAGAATAGGGTAGAACAAAATTTTTCAATTAAAAAGGAACCTTCTGGCCTAGGCCAGTCGGAAGCATTTACAACAGTGGCTTGGGATCTAGCTAGGGGAGTGCCCATGCGGCTTAGAGGGGAAGGGGTGACAACCTGACCGGTAACTGACTCGTCCACCCAATTGGGGAGTGCAGTGCACCAGGAAGGAACCTGGGGGTAGCAGCAAGGGGCTTCCCCCGGGAGAAATCCTAGGTAATAGTGAACCCCACATTCCCAAGAAGTCAAACCACATGTCCCTCCCTGCCAGGTAATAATACTTCTTCGCTGGTACCATGGCAAGTTTTTAATGTCTTCTGTTGTAATCAGTCTCTTTTCCTTCAGGGCATCCAAAGATCGGGCGACTCGGGTTCTCCGGGAAGCCTGGGGCTGGGATGTAGAGGGTGCCGGTCCGAGGGTTGAGGCTGGGGCAGGAGTCAACCCGGAAGTCCAAAAGAAAACAAGCGAATCATGAAAGTTTAGGATGAGCAGCAATAGCATAGTCACGCACATAAACCAGATGGAAGGCATGAGCCATTTCTGTACTTTAGCAGATTCCTTAATTCTATCGGCTGGGTCTGTCATCGTTACACGGTTGTACCTGCGGGCACTTGGCTCGCCACAGGATTTTCAGGAGGCTTTATTTTGGCCTTTCTTTTTTCTTTCTCTTAATGAGTAGCGAGGGCTTTTATAGGAGAGGTCTTGAGCCTCCTCCGCAGCTTCCCAGAGTGGAGGTGAGATTCTGATGTCAACTGGGGCCGTGACTCGCTTACACTGGGAAGTGTGGATCCAGTTGGGCAGGTTGTGGCACTTGACAGTGGTGTGGGTGGTTAGCAATATCTGGAACGGGCCTTTCCAGCGAGGTTCCAAGCAATTCTTTCGTTGATATCTTTTGATGTATACCCACTCTCCTGGTTGCAAGTCGTGACAGGAGGAGTCCACTGGAGCAGGGGCAGTCCAAACCGGGGAATGAATTCATGTAGCAGTTTCTTTGCCACCGTCAGGGAGTCGGCTTTGGCACAGGGGTAGGCCTCAACCCACCCTGAGAATCTACAGACACACACCAAAATATATTCAAATGAGCAGCATTTAGGCATGCTGACAAAGTCCATTTGTATATTTACAAAAGGGCCCCATGGAGAGGGATGGGCTGCAGGCTTGGCCTTCACAGGCTTTCCCACATTATGAGCAAGGCACACTGGGCAGGTGCCGCAGTAATGTCGGGCCATTGCTGCAAAATGTGGGGCATACCAATGCCGTTCGATTGATTGTATCATTCCCCTGCTCCCTACATGGGTTAGCCCGTGGGCCAGGAGGGCCAAGTAAGGGAGCAAGCCTCCAGGTGCCACCGGGCGACCATCCGGTGTGCGCCATACGTTGTCAGGAGACTTTTCACAACCCATTGCTCTCCAGTAGTTCTTTTCCCCTTCCTCTGCCGACTCCTGCATGTCCGCCAAGTCTCGTATGAGGGTTGGGGGCATGTCAGGAGAAGATGGTTCGACAGGGGTCAGGCCTAGGTTGGAGTTATCTAGGGCTATAAAACAAATAGCAGAAAATTCAGCCGGAGACCCGGAAAGGGCCGCTTGCTTGGCTGATCCGTCAGCCAGAGCATTTCCTCGTGTGACCTCATCACAAGGAATTTGATGGGCAGCGCATTTTATAATGGCTATCTCAGAAGGGAGTAAAAGAGCATTAAGAAGTGCATTAACATAAGGCCCATTTCGGATGGGAGTCCCTGCAGAAGTGAGGAACCCACGGTACTTCCAGAGTTGCCCATAATCGTGTACTACCCCGAAGGCATAGCGGGAATCGGTGTAGATGTTAATGGACCGTTTTTCCGCTAGGGTGCAGGCACGGGTAAGGGCGATCAATTCAGCCACTTGAGCGGAGTTCACCCCTGGAAGAGAGTGAGCTTCCACTAAGTTGTGGGGTGAGCATATAGCATAACCTGCTACAAGGATACCCTTGGGGTTTCTTAAACAGGACCCGTCGACAAAATATATTAGTTCGGGGTTAGGTAAAGGGGTCTCTCCCAAATCTATCCGGGGAGAGCATAGTTCAGTGGTTACCGCTTGGCAGTCATGAGGCTCCCCATCCCAGGCTGTTGGGAGCAGAGAAGCCGGGTTGAGAACAGGGCAACGGACTAGGGTTACGTTGGGGGCATTTAGGAGCAACATTTCATATTTAGTCAAGCGAGAATTGGACATGTGTTGGGTCGCTCCTCTTAGGAGGAGTGCGGTTACAGCATAGGGTACTGACACAAGGAGAGGGGAACCCAGAAAGAGTGCGGCCGAGGTGTCCATCAAAATTGCCGCTGCAGCTACTGCTCTAAGACACGGGGGCAGTCCTGCCGCCACCGAGTCTAGAGGGGCGCTATAATAAGCGACAGGCCGTTGGGAGTCCCCGTGTTTTTGAGTCAACACCCCCTGTGCTATTCCATCCTTTTCCTGGCAAAAGAGGGTGAAGGTTTTAGAGTAGTCGGGTATGCCCAAGGCGGGGGCACTAGCCAATAGTTCTTTAAGAGTTTTAAAAGCGGTTTCAGCTGTTTGGGTCCAGGGGAGGGGTTCAGGCACATCCTTGTGGGTTAGGTTATGTAAAGGTTTGGTAACAGAGGCGTATTCAGCTATCCATTGCCGGCAATAGCCTGCCATTCCAAGAAAGCCACGCAGCTGCCTTTTAGTAGCGGGTCTGGGAACCTGCAGTAATGCTTTAATTCTATCGCGAGATAAATGTCTCTCTCCTGCAGTCAAATCGTGCCCTAAGTAGTGGACTCGGGGGAGGCAAAGTTGCAGCTTTGATTTGGAAGCTTTATGCCCCTTTTTTGCCAGAGCCTGCAGCAGGGCCAGAGAATCCACCTGACAAGCCTCCAACGTTGGAGAAGCTATCAGGAGATCGTCCACATATTGGACTAAAGTGGACCCTTTAGGAAGCGTAACATTCTCCAGGTCCTTCCTGAGGATCTGGCAGAAAATGGTAGGCGATTCCGTGTAACCTTGTGGCAGTCTGGTCCAGGTGTACTGCAGGCCCTGGAAAGTAAAGGCAAACAGATACTGGCTTTCTGGGTGAATGGGGATAGAGAAAAAGGCTGAGCATAGATCTACTACTGTGAAGTAGGTAGCTGAGGGGGGAATGGAAGAGAGAATGGTTGCAGGGTTGGGCACAACCGGGAACAGGGGGTGGACTACTGCATTTACAGCTCGCAGGTCTTGAACAAAGCGCCATTTCCCTGTTCCTGGTTTTCGGACGGGCAGGATTGGGGTATTACATTCACTACTAGTTTGAACAATAACCCCCTGTTGAATCAGGGATACCAAAACTGGCCTGATCCCCTCCTTAGCTGCTTTAGAAAGGGGGTATTGTGGGATCCTGGGAAGGGGCTTAGTTGGGTCTAACCGAATTTTAACAGGCTGCGCCGATTCTATACAGCCCACTTGATTTGGATGATCCTCCCACAAAGCTCGGGGAACTTGGGCCAATATTTCTTTCTGTACTGGGGAGAGATCTGGGCTTGTTGTTTTGTCGGGGGAGTGTGCCTGCAGGACCCCCAAGACCTCGTGCTGTGCAGTCTCTGGAGCCTCCAGGAACACCCCTTTAGGAGTACAAAAGATAGAAAAGTTTAATTTACATAACAGGTCCCTTCCCAGCAGGGCCGGCTCTGGCTTTTTCGCCGCCCCAGGCGAAAAAGCCTCCGGCCGCCCCCCCCCCCCCATGGGGGGGGGCGGCCGGAGCCCCGGGGGGAGGGCAGCGAGCCCCGGCGGGGGCTCCGCTCTCCCCCAGGCGGCCGGGGGGAGGGCGCCGGGGGGGAGGGCGGCCAGAGCGCCAGGGGCAGGGCAGCGAGCCCCGGCTGGGGCTCGGCTCTCCCCCCCCCCGGCGGCCAGAGCGCCGCGCCGCCGCCCCCCTCCAGGTGCCGCCCCAAGCACCAGCTTGGGTGCCTGGTGCCTGGAGCCGGCCCTGCTTCCCAGGAGGTTGACGGGGGAACAAGGGCTAAGGAGGAAAGCATGTTGTTCTGTCAAAGGGCCTATTGATATCAACAGTGGGGTTGACACAGGATGGGGGATAGGGACATTACCGACTCCTACTGCGTTAATAACTTCCCCAGATAAGGGAAGGGAGGGGAACTCCTCCACTCGCAGTGTGGACCGAGAAGCCCCGGTGTCGTCTAAGCACTTTACCGGGCTTTGGTTAATGGTACAGGTAACATAAGGGCCAGATTGATCCAAGGAGATAACGGGGGCAATAAGGTCACATGAGGTCTCACGGCTGTCCTATCTATAGTCCACCTGTGTGGGTGGTGGAGCTGCAGCAAACGGGCCCTCCCACTGCGGGGCCTGGGGCCTTCCTTGCTCTCTATAGTCCCATCGATCCCGATGGGGGCAGGCCCTTTTGATATGCCCCCCCTCTCCACATCCAAAGCAGTAATAGGCTGGCGGGCGTCCGGGGGTTCCGCCTATCCATGGCATGGCAGCAGGGGGTATTTCTCCCCTGGCGTTTCCTTCCCCATACCTATAGGGTCGATTGGGTTCCTTCCCATTGTACGATTTCCTTTCTTGTATTTTGGGGTTTAAATTATTGATTTGGAGAGCCATTAGGTGCGTCTCCGCGTCTTCCCTTTTTTTTTCTCGCTTTGGTGGAAATAATGTTGGGCTGCAGCTAGGATCTCCCTTAAACCCTTTCCTTCCCAACCCACTAGACCCAGGCGTAACTGTTCGCTAATTTTTGGGCGGAGACCCTGGACGAAAATGGCCACGATGGCTTGCTCTGCTTGGGTTTCAGCGTTATTAATGCCTGAATATTTTTCAAAGACTGATTTTAACCGGTCCAAATAATCAGCAGGGTTCTCCCCTTTACTTTGTTTACAAGTGTTTATTTTAGTCCAATCGGCCTTTGGTGGGCAGACCTTAAGAATAGCTTCTAACAATTTCCCCTCATCTCGGCCAACTGTTCTCTATCTGGTTGCACTTTGTCTGTCCACTCCATTGTCTCATAAAGACGCCTTTGTGTTTCTCTGGGCATTACGCTTCTCAGGAATTGGTCTAGGTCTCCCATAGTGGGGTTATAGCAATTAATAACAACCTCTAACTCCTCTTTAAAGCGGAGAGGGTCATCCCGAATTTTTGGGAATTTGAGGCCCAGAGTACACATATCTGTTGGGCTCCAAGGGGCATGAACCTCCGTTACCCCACCGTCCATCGCAGGGAGCTGTCTCAAGGGAAAATTTCTCACCTCATGGGAGGTCCCGATTTTCCCATCTGGGCTGGTTTTGAGCTTCCGTACAAGTTCCCTTTGAGCCTTACTTACATCTCCTAAGATATCTTCCTCCATTTCTTTAAATTTACTGGGGCGGGTTTCCCCCCACCCCCCCGCTTTTGATTTGTCGCGGTGGGCCACAGAACACAGACAGGATTGGTTCCCATATGGTCACAGAACTGCAGTAAAGTGGAACAATTTTCAGCTTGTGTGATTGGAGGATATCTGGATGCATATTATAAGACTGGCCTACATAAATGAGGAAACCTTGAGGTGCCTTTATTATTCTTTTCTTCCACTCTTTGTTTCTATGGGGAATTTACCAATGCAATATCACTGTCTTCCTTTTAAACAAATAAAACTTTTAAAAAAAGGGCAATGGCTGTTGAAAATAGCAATTCCAGTCCTTATAACCACTGGGAAGCATTTCTTGCTCAATTTTATCCTACTTTTTCTACAGCAAGTTACAGTGGATCAGTATATTTGATTTGGGAGAAATGAAGTAACAGCTGCCCAAATTGAGCTTGACCACTCCTGAATTTTGAGGTGTTCAAATCTGGAAGGCAGGTGCTAGATTCCCTTTCTGAATATTAGCTAAATCTGGAAAGGAAAAGTCAATTTCTGCTTCCATGGCTCAGAAGTGGAAATCCTCCTACGTGCCGGGTACTTTATCTAAAGCTGGCCAGGTCCTCTAGCAGAGCCTCCCCTCCCTTACTTTTCATTTTAAATTCTAGTGGGATCCACGTACCTCCCTTGCTAGGCTTCAGATATAGAGGGGCACTGTGCATTTAGTCCACCCAATTCTTTCTTTGGGGGCTGCAAGGTGAAGTCACACCAGTATCCCTAAGTCAGTCTGGGGAAGTCTTCTGAAGGGGATAGCTGGGCCAAAGCCTTCTACTCCTTGGGCATACTTGTTCCCCGTTGCATTCCAAGGGCCTTATTTTTTAATATTTGAATACTGTCTTTTGTACTATAAGATGTCATCGCAGCATGTGTGCTTTCTCATTCCCGCCCCATGTGTACGTGTGTGTGTGTGCTTTCGGGGCACGAGTGTGTGGCATTGTGAGAGCACCATTGTGTCACTGGGCCAAGCCAGAGTGGATTTTTGCACACGAAGGAGCAGTGGATATGCTCACGAGTGGCAAGAGGGAGGGGGACCGATCGATCGTTCAATCAAATGCTCCCAGGAGGGAATTAACTGGCGTATGGGAAAAGTTTGGCCAGCGGATTTGGAGCTGGGTCGTTTCCTTGCAGGGAACGGGGGCTGTTTCCCTGGCCGAGCCGAACGGCCGCTGTGCCGCGCAGCGGAAGGGTGTAAGAGGTGAAGCCTGCCAGCACTCACCCGTCACGCTGCAGTACCTCCACCTGCCATCCGTGTCGTAGCTCATGGTGGTCGCGCACCAGCGCGGCCTGCACCCGGGATGGCACCAGAAGGCGCAGGGGGGAGAGACTGAGAAGAGAAAAGGCGAGAGATCAAAAGAGACAAATCACAACCACAAGCAAAATAAATTGGCCCCACGCCATTGGAGTCAATGGACCAGATCCCCAAGTGGGTGTAAATTGGCCTGGCTCCATTTGAATTAAAAGGCCGGATTCTGAGCCGCTATAAATCGGCACAGATCCCCTGAAGCCGGCGGCGCGATGCCAATTTACACCAGTGGCGAATCTGGCCCTATGAGAGGGGGAAAGCAGCTAGTAGTGACACCAGCACGGACAGGGAGGTCTTTGTTCCTATTAAGGAACTGGTCTGATGTGCAAATTCACCCCTGTTCTTTACTTTCTTCCTCTGATCTGGTTCGTTATTGCAGATTTATTTACACTAGAAATGCTAAGGGACATAACTGCATCTTGGAACTAGGGACCAGATCGGGACTGTAGTTACTCCAGAGTCAATTTGGAGTCATGCCACGACTGCAGCTAGAATCAGCCTCAGACCCTCATCTCAGAATTTATTATTAGAATGACCCCAACTGAGATTGGGACCTCACTATGCCAGGCGCTGCGCAGACCCCAACCGAGATTGGGGCCCCATTGTGCCAGTGGAGAAACATGGGATGCCTCAGAGAGATTAAAATCAAAACAGATGAGATAGACAAAGGGTGGGAAGGGAAACTGAGGCTGTCAAGGCTGTATCCCCACTTTGAACTTTAGGGTACAACTGTGGGGGCCTGCATGAAGACTTCTAAACTTAACTACTAGCTTAGATCTGGTCCGCTGCCACCATTCCCAAAGCTAATTCCCTTCTCTGGGAAGCCTTGAGAAACCTTTCACCAATTCCCTGGTGAATACAGATCCAAACCCCTTGGATCTTAAAACAAGGAGAAATTAACCATCCCCCTCCTTTCCCCCACCAACTCCTGGTGAATACAGATCCAACCCCCTTGGATCTAAAAACAAGGAAAAATCAATCAGGTTCTTAAAAAGAAGGCTTTTAATTAAAGAAAATGGTAAAAATCATCTCTGTAAAATCAGTATGGAAAATAACTTTACAGGGTAATCAAACTTAAAGAGCTTAGAGGACCCCCCTCTAATCTTAGGTTCAAAGTACAGCAAACAGAGATAAACACTCTAGTAAAAGGTACATTCACAAGTTGAGAAAACAAAGTAAAACTAACACGCCTTGCCTGGCTTTTTACTTACAAGTTTGAAATATGAGAGACTTGTTTAGAAAGATGGGGAGAACCTGGATTGATGTCTGGTCCCTCTCAGTCCCAAGAGCGAACAACCCCTTAAACAAAGAGCACAAACAAAAGCCTTCCCCCCCCCCAAGATTTGAAAGTATCTTGTCCCCTTATTGGTCCTTTGGGTCAGGTGTCAGCCAGGTTACCTGAGCTTCTTAACCCTTTACAGGTAAAAGGATTTTGGAGTCTCTGGCCAGGAGGGATTTTATAGTACTGTACACAGGAGAGCTGTTACCCTTCCCTTTATAGTTATGACAGAGGCACGGGGCAGGGATGTGACTGACCCAAAGGTTACAAAGGAAGTCGTGGATTGGTCAAAGCTAAACCCCAGGTGTCCTGACCCGCAGGGCAGAGCGCTAGTCCTGGCAGCAAAAGCAGATATGGAGACTGACGATCGTTACAAATAACAAACCCAGAGGCTCTCCAGTCTCTGGAGATCTGAGCTCATTAGCATTAGCAGCAGCCAGGCTGAGTGTTTCTCTCTCTATTTCCCCTCCTCTCTTTTTCTGTCTCCTTTTTTTCCATTCATTTGTATTTTCCCAGCTTTTGTTTTCCATCCTCAGTCCTGTTTTCTCTCCCCCTCCTTCCTGCCTCTCCCACAGCCCCGCTCTCTCTTCCCAAACGCAGCCGTTGCATTGGTTCCCCAGGGACGCTGCTGGAGTTGGTCTAATGGCCGGAAGGTTTCCCAGGCAGAGATAGGAAAGATCGAACCTGTTCAGGGTGGGAGACTCAGCAGCAGTTCCATGACCGAGCAGGCATGTCCCGAAGGAAGTCACTCACCCCATTACACGCTCTTTGAAACTTTGCTAAACTACCTCCCGCCAGATGTGTGGCAGGTGGATACAAAAGGCTGGGGTGTGTTGTGTGGGCGAGGTTTTGTCGGCATGAATTTGGCTGAAAAACACTAATTCCTGCCTCTTCTTCCTGGACTAATGTGGTCCAGTCAAACTCATGTGGCTCAAATCTTTATAGATTCATAGATGTTAAGGCCAGAAGAGACCATTCTGGTCATCTCATCAGCTCTTCTATATAACACAGTGGCTCCTGCATCCAGCCAATAGCTTATAGCTGAGCTGGAGCAGATCTTTGAGAAAGACGCCCAGTCTCCAGATAGACACCTAGGGATCCTCCATCATGTGGCAAGTTGTTCCAGTGGTTAATTATCCATCTCGTTGGAATTTGTGTAGCTTCATCTGCCTGCCAGTGGATCTGGCTAAACCTTGGCCTGATAGATTAGAGAGCCGTATTTCTTAAGACTTTAATATCCGTGACATTACCACGCATTCCCTGCCGCGTCTCATTCCTTCTCTGTGTGTGTCTGAAGGGTACGGCATCGTCGGAGCACCGTCATCTGATTGCGCTGGGTGGGAGCGACAGATATTCGTGCAAATGGAGAGAGGGAGAGAAGGCGAATGATCCTTAAGCCCAATGCTGCTAGGAGAGGATTAACTGGTGACCCCAGAAAGCTTGGCCAACGGCTTTGGAGCTGGGGCTGTTTCCTTGCAGCCAGCGGGGCTGTTTCCCTGGTGTTACCGTAGTGCAGAATGGTGCTGTGCCCTGCAGGGGAACGGAGCAGGAGGTGCGGACTGTGGCGCTGGCAAACCAGCTCAGGATAAAGTTAACTGGCTGATTCACCGGTGTGTGTAATCCTTAAAGGCAGGCCAAGAGGCACTGTGGTGTAATCCAGCCCATTGATCTGTGCTGATAAGAATCAAGCGTAGGTGCTAATTGCATTTGTCTGTATTCCCCAACTTCCTGTGTAACGTACCCTGATGTCACTCTGCAGTTACCGCTATATCACGTGTGCGTCTGTCTAATTGCCATGAGATCAAAGGCCTGCACTTATCAGTTAGATGAAGTTTACTAGAATGAGGATGTTATTGTCTTCCAGTGGTTCTCAGCCTGCGGCCTGTGGTTGGCTTGTGGCCCACTCAGCACACAGCTGCGGCCCATGTGACATCCTCAGGGCCATACAGGTGGTATACATATTGTGGGGATGCAGCCCACAGAACCCACAGAGAGTTGCACACGCGGCCCACAATGATAAGTAGGCTGAGAACCACAGTCTTGGTCTATCTGAAACATGTGATTTACATTGAAAAACCACCTGCAAACCAGCGTTGTAGTTTGAATGGCTGCATGAATTGGATTGAACAGATGCATGAGTCATGGCATTGACCAATGGGAACTCAAGCTGTGTGCACTGCTGCCTTCCTCATCGAAGCAAGTTGATGATAATGGTCAGCTCATTAACCTGCTTCAACTATAAAAGAGAAGCCTTGGGCATGGACTTGCCATCTCTGCTGACCTCTGAACAGGGAGAGTTTGAGCTATTGGACTGAGATCCCCTCTGATGGGGCATCTGCCCCACACTGGCAGGAAAGGGGTTAAAAGCAGCCCTAGGGAGGCTGCGCAGGAGGCAGCCAATCAGAGAAGGGCTGAGGGGAACAGCCAATCAGGGTGAAGCAGGCCCATATAAAAAGGGAGCTGCAGGGTAGAGGCAGCAGTTCTCTGTTGGGAGCCCAGGGAGGAAGGACTGTGTCTCTGGAGGGCTGAGAGAACTGCCAGCACCCTGGACAGAGCAGTGCTGCTAGCAAGGTCTGGGGGCGTGAGAGACAGCTCCTGGCTGGCTGCTGGGGTTTGCAGACTGAGGCCCTGACACAAGGGCAAAGAGGGTGCTGGCCATGCAGTGGCCCAGTCTGTGCCGCTTCCCGCAGCTCCCATTGGCCGGGAACGGTGAACCGCGGCCACTGGGAGCTGCGAGCGGCCATACCTGCCAATGCTCATGGCCTGCATCTCGTGGCCTGCCAGGGGCTTATCCTGAACAAGCCGAGGCCCAAGGTCGAGAACCCCTGCACTAGGCTACGTAAAAAGCACCAGCAAAGTCAGTACAAACGACAATATCATACAATGACTTGTTTATACTGTGTACACTGAAATGGAAGTACAGTATTTATATTCCAATGGACTTATGTTATAACTATATGGCAAGAAACAAAGCCATTTTTTAGTAACAGTGTGGCTGTGGCACTTTATGTATTTTTATATCTGATTTTGTCAGCAAGTAGTTTTAAGTGAGGTGAATCTTGGGGGTACCCAAGACCAGTCAGACTCCTGAAGGGGGTACAGTAGCCTGGAAACATTGGGAGCCACGGCCTTACATCATAAAGTCCAGCTTGCCTGGGTGATAAACGGGCTGGAATATGAAGGGGATTGTCTGTATTCTGTGGTAGAACTAGCCTAGTGATCCAGGCATGCTCCATTATTCCTGGCTTGGTGAATCTAATGAGAGACTAGCCCACCAGTTTGGGGGTGTCTGCCCTGTTCTCTGGCGATCTGTCCTGAGACTGGGTGTTCTCAGCTGCGACCCGCTCTAGGCAGCGCGACACAGAGTGCAAGGACTCGCCCTTCCGGGTGCAGAACTTCCATTTGCCGTCCTTGTCGTAGTCGCCGGTGGTCGCGCACCAGAGCCACTTGTCGGTGCTTCCGTCCCTGGTGCAGGCCGAGGACGATTTCCCCTTGTACTTAAAGGAGAAGGTGCAGGGCAGAGAGTCTGGACCTGAGAGTGAAATGGGGAGAGAGCAAGGAAAGGCAAGTGACAATCAGCAGTGGCCATTGAGGCCAGTGGCCAGATCCCAGCTGGCGTAAAGCAGTGCGGATCCAGTGAAACCCATGGAGCGATGCCAATTTACGGCAGCTGAGGATCTGGCCCTAGGTAACACTGGGGCGGGGATGTGTGTGTGGAGGGGGCGGGGGAGAGGAACCAGCTCGATCCCCAGAGACAGCTACACTGCCACTCACAGGGAGTTCTCCATTCTCATTTAAGAATTGATCTGACCCCCAAGTCCTCTTTGTCCTGTAGCAACTGGCTTTGATCTGATTTAACTGCTGCTCAGCACAAGGGGGCCAGATGCTGAGTGCAGTGACTCTAGAATCAGTCTGCAATGGAGTCAGACCCACATTCTCATCTCAGGATTCATTAGTAGTAAAACACTCTCCCTCCCCCCACAGCGGGGATGACAATGGCTTTTCGGTTCACTGGCAGTTCTGAAAATGTTCTAGAAAAGTTTCGTTTCAGTTGCACCCAAACCAACGTGTTTCAGATTTTTCGTCAGCCTGAAAAAAGTGGAGAAAGCGAATGGGAATGAAATAGCCAGAGCGCGGCCTCAAGTCTCCCCCGGCTTCGGCGAGCGCCCCGGCTCCAGAGTCATTCTCGGGAGCTAGACGCAAATTTATTAAATGGTTTTGGGTCAGTTGATGCTGCTTTTTTTTCAGCAACTAAACTATTTCCCAGGAAACTCACTCAGCTTCGTCACCAGCCAAGATCAGGGCCCCACTGTGCCAAGCAGTGCCCAGACACACAGGGAGAGAGAGTCAAAGCTCACAATCAAATTAGGTTTGACAGACAAAGGATGGGAGGGGAACCTGAGGCACGGGGTGGGGCGGTGATTTACCCAGGATTAGAAAGGAAGCCACTGAGTCAGTTGACCCGGGTTCTGAGACTTGCTGCTGTGTTTTTTGTTTTTTGGGGGGTTTTTTTGCTGTGTAGACGTACCCACAGCATCTTAGGTGTGTAAGTCCCATTCTCCAAGTCATCTAGACCCAGATTTTTAAAGGCATTCAGGCATTGCTGTGCTCAGTGTTGCAAAGCCAACTGTGGTGAGAGACTAAATCTCATTTTCCAAAGGGATTTAGGCACTTAGATGAAAATCGCATTGATTGTCAATGAGATTTTGGCTCCTAAGGACCTAAATGCATTTTGAAAATGACATTTAGGCTCTTAAATCAGTTAGCCTTGCAACACCAAGGCAGCAACCACTAAATATCTTTGAAAATCCGGGCATTAGGCGCCTGGGACTAAATTTTCAAAGGTTTTTAGGCTCACAGAGGCGCAGGCAGGTGTCTAAGGAGCGTTTCCCAAGGCACCTCTCTCCAGCTGGAAGTTATGGTCTCAGAAAAGTCTGACCAGTGAATTTGGAGCTGGGACGTTTCCTTGCAGCAGATGGGCCGGCTTCCCTGGCCTTAGGGCCCAGTGGAATGGCTGCTGTGCTGGGCAGGAGAACGGAGCGAGAAGCGGAGGCAGCCAGGCCTCACCCATGGGAGAGCAGAACCTCCACCAGTCGTCCTTGTCATAGTTGTCGGTGGTTGTCCACCAGAGCTTCTTGTCCCTTTGTCCATCTGTGGTGCACGAGGAGTACAATCGCCCCTTTTAAATAAACGGGAAAGTGCAGCAGGGAGAGGCTGAGTCTGTGAGGGAAGCAGACAGATCGAGGAACAGACAAACGAGGCACTCTGCTGTAATGAAGGCTCAGACCAGCTTTCTGTCTAAAGCTTGACTCTAATTATGCTAAAATCTGCAAGATTACTCTGATTGCCTTGAAACTTGGTGTGTCTCATGGGAACAGGGGGCTCGATTTCTCCTCCAAATTTGGTCCCATTCGACCAAGGGGTCCCCAAGCTACAGCCCCCCTGAAAAAAACAGCTTGGCTTAAAGTTCCCTTTTTTTTTTTTTTTTTCAACTTTTTTGTTTTTGGATGTGGCTAGAGATGAAGCCGGGGCCCAGACCATCGCGCTGGGGCCTTAGCTGCTTGCGGCTCACTCCCAACCGAGGGCACAGCCCCACTTAGCCCTCTGGGGAGAAATATAATTCTAGTGCCATTAGCTGAAGTTTGGGTCTCCAGTTAGACGTGTGCTGAGCAGTTTTAAGGCTCATGCACGGAACACTTTGCACTGTGTGTGATTAGCTCAGCATGGACTATAGCAGCCTCTGGATCCACGCAACACAGAGTTAGCACTGTGAGCTCAAACCCAACCCAAGGCAGAAATCGGAAATTAAACAAGGCATCTTGCTACGTGCTGCCTCTGCCACAGGGGAAATGAAATCTGAGCACAGCCGAATACCCAGGCAGAGCTGTACAGAGTTCTGAACAGAGAATAAATTACAGGTGCAAATCCGCACTGGGAGGAGAGGGTGATTGGGGTGGAAAAGTAGGCAGGAATAGGGAGTGGAGGGGGGATTATGGGGAGAGGTGGGTAGGAGAGAGTTGGGGGGTCAGGTGGAGTGGGACACTGGGAAGTGGGACATGGTTTGAGGGACTGGGGGAGAATAGGAGCTGTCTGCCAAGATCTGGAGGGGGGGAGGTCTGATCCTCTCTCCCTAACTTTGTGTGCATGTGTTCGAACATGGGGGCCCCCCTGTCCCTCTAGGAGGTCCCAAGGCCAGAAGGGTCCATTGAGATCATCCACTTGGACCTCCTGGATCACACAGGCCGGAGAATGGCCCCACAGCAATTCCTAGAGCAGAGCTGGTAGAAAAACATCCAATCTCGATTTTAAAAATTGCCAGTGATGGAGAATCCACCATGACCCTCGGCAGAATGTTCCAATGGTTAATTACCCCCCCTCCCTTTAGACAAAAAAACACTTAGAGCAGAGACTGCTGGGATATGACCCCAGGACCTCTTGTTTAGTAGGGAGAAACCACAACCAACAATGCTGTGCCCACCCCCTTTGAAAGAGCATTCTTGGATCTACAGCGCGACACACTCAAGAGAAAAAGGGGTCAATGGGCCATGTCCCCAGCTGCTGCAAATCGGCTTAACTCCGTTGGCGTCAATGGGCCAGGTCCCCAGCTAGTGTGAATGGGTGCGGCTCAGCTGAATTGTATATGGTAAATTCCCACACAACAACGCCAGCACTAAACGGGGAGATCTTCACTCCCGTCCTCTACAAACTGGCCCTGAGCTGGTTTGTTTTTGCAGATTATTCACCCCAGAAATGCTGAGGCCTTTAACTGCAGTGGGGCCCAACAGGTTCTGACCCCAGATTCTGGGCCTTGTTAGGGGTGAATCCGAAGTCAACCCCAACAGCGGCAGAGTGAGGCTCCGAACTTCTATTAATTAACCTATTAACCTGGCCACCTGCTGCCATCTGCTGGTGAACAGGAGGAGGACACGTGACTAATGCAAGGAGCAGACCCTAGTTTGCATGTTCCCAGCCAGCCCCCCACTGGCTGGATCAGACGGATGGAAGCTCACAGAGCAGCACCTCCAGTCCAGACCCCAGTTTCACACTGGACAGTTTAAGGGCTCCGGGCAGGGCTGTGGGTCAGGCAACCAGTGGGGAGCAGGCGGAGCCAGGGACAGTGAGTTGGTGCGAGTGGGGCTGAGAGTCCCTGTGTCCCCTCCCTCCACCCCCGCCACATTAATACTGGAAACCTCCATGAAAACGAGCAATCTCATGATCATGTTCCAGCATTAGGTGATGAAGTTAATGCACGTCGGTAGATCTGGTTGGTAAAATTGCCGACCGAATGAGTTTTCCATCGGAAAATGAAGGTTCGGCAAAATGTGTTGGTTTTGAGGTGTTGATTTAGATGAGATTTTATATGAGAAAGGTTGGAAACAAGTCCCTTTGAGGGTCTCAATTCACTGCAATGATGCAGAAAAGTTTCCTTCCCACGAGGGAAAAACGTTTCAATTTGAATTTATCATTTCAGTTAATTTCATTTTGACTTTAATTACATTGTAATAATACAATGTGAATTTTAATATGTTATATATATCTCCTGTTTTATATAGTTTATTTGATATTATAGTTAAAGTTTCCAAATGATCAGAGCAAAGCATTTTACCTTCAACAAAATATTAACATTAACATCATAGTATATATTTTATTTTATAATATAGTATAATGTTTTGACATTATTGGACAGAAACATTATACATTTTTACAAAATATTAATTAATTATCCAAATGAAACATGTTACTTTACTTCAAACTATTAATTGAAATGTTTCCTTCTGATGAGGGGAATACATTACATTTTGAATTTATTGTTTCAATTCTTTTCATTTCAACTTTTATATTGAAATCTGGATTTTTATATTATTGTAAATATATTTTATATATTTTATTTTATATTGTAGTTTAATGTTTCAAAATGGTCAGAATGAAGCATTTTACCATACTGAAACAAAATATTAATATTATAGTATGTCATCTATATTTCATTTTTTATTAAAGTATAATGTTTTATAAATATTGGACTGAAACATTTTATTACAAACGTTACTTTATTACAAAATATTAATTGAGACATTTCCTTCTAAAAAAGTGTTTCATTTTGAATTTATGGTTTCAATTCTTGTCATTTCAACTTTTATATTATATTGAAATCTGAATGTTAGTGTTATGGTATCTATCTATCTATAACAAATCAAAGCGCAACATTTGAAACAACTGAAGACAGTTGGCAGTTTTTCAAAGAGACATTATTAAGGGCACAAGACCAAATTATTCCACTGCATATGAAAGATAGGAAGTATGGCAAGAGACCACCCTGGCTTAACCAGGAGATCTTGAATGATCTAAAAATCAAACAAGAGTCCTACAAAAAGTGGAAACTAGGTCAAATTACAAAGGATAAATATAAACAAATAACACAAGTATGCAGGGACAAAATTAGAAAGGCCAAGGCACAAAAGGAGATCAAACTAGCTAGAGACATAAAGGGTAACAAGAAAACATTCTACAAACAATTTTGAAACGTCGGCTTTTCATTTGCATTCGGACTGACAACAGATTCCGGAAATGTCACATTTCCCGTGGAGCGGCCATGCCGCTTTCCATCTATCTCTGCCCGTAGAGTCATAGATCCCGAGGCCAGCAGGGACCAGGGTGATCCAGGCTGAGCCCTGTATAGCACAGGCCAGGGAACGTCCCCCAAACAATTCCTAGAGCAGAACTTTTAGAAAAACATCCAATCTTTGTTTTAAAATTGCCAGTGATGGATGGGGTGGCCCCATTCCTCTCGCTGTCCTGGAGCCAGCCCCAGTTGGTAGGGGTGCCTGTACTGGGGCCCATCTGGCAGCACGGTTACCAACCCGCTTGTGGCCAAAGCCCTTGCTGGTGCGTCGGTCCCTGCGGCGTGTGGGAAGCCCACTGGCTCACACTGCTCTGATTTCCGGGCTGTTAGCAATGTCCAGCCCCCATGGGGCCCACGGCAATACCAGCCTCTGAACCCCCCTGGCCACAGCACCCACAGAGGTCCTGCCAATGCCAGATGGACTAGTAATGGACCTGTGGGGCTGAGGAGGCCTCGGCCTGGCCCCAAGCCCTTCGAGGGTGACTGACCCAGTGTCTCCTGCCTGGCCGCACTGATGTCTGGAGTCCAGCCAGTGCGGGGACAGGCTGACCTGCTTGGGGGCCCAAGAGGTCAGGGATGGGGGCTTGGGCTGAGGCCAATCTGGGGGCTCTGTCACCCTGGGCTTCAAGCCATTATTATAGCATATCCCTCTTGCCCCCCCATCCCATTGTGGGGCTGATCCTGTGGCATCTGGGGGTGAAGGAGCCCCCTGTGTGGGCCCCACACAGTCTATCCCCCCCAGGGGGAGGAGGCAGCCATCTTTGTCACCATGGCTCACAAGACCCAGTGCCCCCTCACTGGTGCAAAGGGAGGTGATCAAACCCTGAGGAACTGGGGCAGGGGAGAGGGTTATGGGTCCGGATTGGGGGGGGGGGCTCCCTGAGCCTGGTGGATGCCACCTGAGGGTGTGGCCCTGTTGGGGATGAGGGTCCTGGGGCTGGTGGCACAGTGAGGTTGGGGGGTCCTGGGGAAGGGACTGCAGTTGAGGAGCGGGTCCCAGGCAGGGGTCAGAGTCTGTGTGGGGATAGAGTTCCTGGGGCAGGGGACACAGTCGGGGGGGGGGGGGGGGGTCCAGGCAGGGGGGTGAAATTGGGATGGGGGTTGTGACGTTATTGACATAATCTGGGACCATATAGAACATGGTTGCAACCAAAGTCCTGTAGTGGCACCAAATCTTGTATAAAGGCGGTCAAATGAGGTGTCTAAGACAAGGTTATGGTTTGCTGGTTATGATTATGCTGTCTATATGTGTGTTTCAATTTTGTAGTTGAAGTTATGAATATTGGCTCTATATTGTCTGTATTTCAAACTTATGCTATGCTTCTGGGAGACATCCCAGACAAGTTGGTGTTAGCTCTGCCTACCCTGCTTGATGGCCCATTAAGGACCATCAGCTATACAATTGACCCATTGAGAGAAGGCAAATATGCCTTGCAACTCAGCAAAGTATGCAGGGACTGGCCCATGTGACTCCAGACCCCATTTTGCTGTACTTTTCCACAATAAGGACAAAGAGGTATTCTTACACCTGGAAAAGACTATAAAAGACTGATGCCTCA